AACCGGTTGTCTTTGAAAGATGGGTCAGTGCCCAGTTTGTTTGAACCAGCTTGCTCCTCCGAATCACAACCTGTAAGTATGATTAATAATTGCTGCTTTGATGTTCTGTCGAGCGTACAAAATATGTAGTTGTGTATACAGTCAGTGCAGCTGTAAGTCTCCAGCTAACTCGTGCTATAGTTCTGCTAATCAGCTGTGGGCCTGCTATTGTCTAGAAATGTGTGGATTAATACAGAATGTCTGACGTTCTTATTACTTGGAGTCATGATAAAGGATGGAGCAATACGTTGGTTTACAAACTGCAGTGCTTTATCAGTACTCTTTGTCTGTGTTCGGCTAACACATGTACCATTATTGTTTGGGTCTTTACTACCAAGATGTGGATCTGGTTCGCTAACATAAGTGTAAAACAACTTTTTCCCCTCTGATTCTTTCTTTTTAGAACAAAGTGGAGCACTATCATAATAATAATAAGATGAATTATTGATAAGCTGTATTCCAGTACTGGTGATGGGCGTTCCCTTTTCAAACATGCTCTGTACGCAGTAGACCAATCACAACAGACTGGGTCACCGGACCAATCAAAGCAGAGCAACCTAATGCAAAGGATGGGTTTGGAAAGATGAATCTTCGAACAAATCGTTTGAGAGTTGTTGAGAAATAACGTAAAATTAAATGCTATTATAAGAAAATGAAAGTGTTTTTTTTTTTTACCTTGAATGCATGTAAATCTGTTGTTGGGGACTCCCAAAACCAAATTATAAAAATTTCAAATAGCATAATAGGGGCACTTTAATTATGTAGCAGAGGGGGAGGAGCTATCAGACTTCTATGTCGGTGGACAAAATAGCAATTAAATAGACAAAATATAATTAATTCACTAGACGGTTGACTACATAGTGCATAGAATAAATGCATAGTGCATGGTGCATCATTTGGGATACAACTCAATGTAGTTTTTAGGTGGCTGATAGGGTGTTGTTAAATGGTGGCCAGACAGTTACTATAGTATTCTATGTTCAAGGTGGTTGTTAGTGTTGTTAGGTGATTGTTGGCGTGTTCCATATGCCATGGCATTCCAAGGTTTGCCAAAGACAAAAGCGCCCAATTCAAGTGTCCATGACATTGTGGTCTTTGCATATGGCTTGGGTCCCTCCTTTAATGTAAATATAAAGATTTAGTTTAGCTTGTTTAAACATTTGTCAGGTGACAAACAGAAATAGTGCTGGATACATACATAGTAATAAAAATTACTGCCTTAGCAAACACCACTAATGAAATCTTTATTTTCTAGTGGTTACCTGACAAAAGAGAAATGATTTCTTCTTAGGAAAGTGTTGAGCGTGGTTTGGTGGCAGTTTATGAGACGTCAGCAGGATGCACAAAATTGATCACACGTTAAAGCGCCTGTTCAAATGGTGATGCTGCCCTCCGCCGGTCATTACTCTTGTTAAAGGATGCTTTCCAGCTGTTCACACTCGCTCTCCACTCACTCAAACACAAATACACACACACCGATGAACTCACAACACGCACACCTGTGCAGGAGCTCAATAGCATGGATCGATGGCATTTGATTGAGTGGGGCTGCAGTCCAGGGTTCAAGTCAAGATGACAGATGAGATAGCCATAGGCAAATGAAGGTCACATGGGTGAATTGGATGTTTCTGTTTCTGTGTGTGTGTGTGTGTGTGTGTGTGACCACACACTAGCCTAGAAGGGGGTCAGAATATCAAATATCTTCCTCCATTCCACCCTGTTTCAGACTGACACTTCATCTATCAGTGTTGTAAGAGGGCACACTGTCTGTGTGTCAGAGGGTACGACCACACAAACCTAGGGCTGGGTATCGTTCAAAAATTTTCGATATCGATACCGATACCGATACCTTGACTTCGATACCGGTTCCTGAACGATACTTTTTTCGATACCAATTTTATGAAATCTATTTGAACAAGATTACATTATCTAAAAAAAAAAACGTTGGTTTTATTTTTCAGCT